GTTTGTTTCTCACTCTGGACTTGGAATCCCCCGTCAGTGCAGCCTCCGCAGAGCCAGGGCAACATGGAGTTGGAGAGCGGTTCCTTCTAAGCCAGGAAGCAGTTTCAGTCCTCAGAGCTGCACACGTTTGTCTAACACCTGTCACTTGTCTGTGTAGGAGTGCCAAGTAGAGTCATTCTGGCCCTGACGCCAGGGACAGTTTTGTAAACGCTAACTGTCTGGATGGAGGGTGAAATAGGCACTAAGAGTTCATAGTGACTTGGGAGCATTTTTACTCAAGTAGGAGAATTTCACGAGCATTGAGAGAAACACTATGTGATGGGACACAAATATGCACTTTAAGAGCCTCGTCACCACAAAGAAGCCGACCTACGTATGAGTCTCCCCACCCTCAGGAAAAATAGGACCAGGGAGAAACAAACCTTGACATTCCCGTCCCTGGCATTTTTCCTACGTGGGTGCTGCCTTTGTTAATACTCACACCAACTTCCCGTGAAAAGCTAAGGAACACGTACTGCTTTTGTAATCACATAACGTGTAAAAGATTTCTTACTCTACTCAGATTCGTGAACACTTACTTTGAGAATAGAAATTTATTTCATACCATTGACAATTTAAAAATCATTATTGGCCTTCACACAAATAGTCTTTTGAGTTACACATAATTTAAACAGAGGTATGGACTTGAACAAGAAAATAAAACAACCTGAAAGTTAAAATTACCACTTATTACTCACGGGGACTATGACAAACCATTGTAAAACCTACTTTTTGGCACTGGCTCCTGTCTGTTGAACAATGTGTTCAAATAATGTTAAAATGCAACCAATGTGGAACTTTTTTTCAAAATTAACTTGTTCAAAACAATTTCATTTGTATGCTAAGAAAGGAGAAAAGTTCATGGTATGCTCTCAGGGTTGTGAAAGTGTGTGCGAGCGTGTGTGTGAGAGAGAGTATGTAGTTTAAATAACACTTAAAACAAAAAAAAAACCAGACTTCTTCCACAATTTTAGATTCATTGTTGGCTTCACAGATCTCATGATTTGGTTGCCAGTTCTGAAGTCATCCCCCCAGGGGCCATCCATCCACTGTCTGTCCTGCCACCTGGGACACAGGTCAGGGCACCTGCTGGGCTTAGTCCTCCTCCAGGTGCTTCCCGGCCCTCACATCTGTGTCTGGGAGTCAGGGCCTGATGCAGCATATGGGTTGCTCTTTTCCATGTTCTTTTTCTTTTCGTCCTCATCAAATTGCGCTTCGACCTCCGCTGGGTTGACGTAAGTGTAGAACCGAGCCATGATGGCAAATATTACGCAGACGACGAGAAGCAACGTGGCAAATAGAATGTATTCAGCCCACTTTGAAGGAGTTAGAGTTGGAGCAAGGAAAAAAAAATACAAGTCATGTTAATGTGTACGTTGCATATGTATTTGCTTGCATGTCCAAATGGAAGGTACTTTGAAATTAAATTATAAAAAATGGGCAGGCAGCCAGCACGGACACCGATGGGGCAGCTTTTCTTAAATGCCCAAGATAGACGCCAACATAACGAACACTTTTCTAACAGCCCTGGGGTGCAGCAACAAGAGTTTGAGAAGATGAGAGAAAATCTCCCCAAATCCCAAGCCCGAAGCCACGTGGCTGGCCCCTGGATGGGTGAGGACCCAGGGAACACCAAGAGAATCTTTGAGGGAAAAAGACCCCGTGTTGCCCCTGGGAACCCCCTGGAGCTCATCAGCAGCACAAGCAC